CACCTCCCAGACTTCTCGAACCTCATACCGTTCTCCGCTCTCTCGATGTGTATATATGTATATGTATATGTATACTATGTATCTATATATTTTTGAATACCTACTCGTTGAATTTAAAGTTGTTGTCATGTTGCCCAGACGCACAGTTGTTTGGACAAAATTCCGCTCTTAACGCAAATGAAAATGAAGTTCCCATTTTCCATTCCAACAACCCGACCAAACCACAACTCCAAACTCTGAAATGAACCAACAACGAAACACCAACAACAGCCAACGCCCACAGTTCGAAAACCAGTTCCCGCAGCTCCCTGCACCCATAGACAACTGTGAAATGTGAACTGTGAACTGTGCACTGTGACCGCAGTAGCAGAGCATCGTACGGCAGGCAGGCACCAACCCAACAGCTACATATACGTCGATAAATATTACAAAAAACCTAACTAAACGATAAAACATGTTTACTCACTAACGCACATACTCGTACCTATGCATAGATCTACAATTACAATTATGTACAATTGCAAGGCAGAAATGTACCCCCTCTCGATTGGCATTTCACTACCTAGACCTAGACCTCAGCAAGCACCTCCAAAAAAAACGGCACGGCACTGTCCAAATTGACGAACCGACCCGATTCGGCAAATATAGAATATTTTGTGATTTTGTTTTCTGTTTTTAGACGACTTCGACGATTTCTTTTAGGGGAAACCCATTATACCAGATAAGATACTCGTACTCCTGCATAGGAGACACGAACACATACTTTCGAACATGTACCTCAGGCAAATGCTGAACCACTTTTGAGAACTCTACATGCAACTTGCAATATATTGTAGTACAGAAAAACCAAAACAGTTTATCCAATATCAGAGTTATAACAATAATATTAACCAAATAACGACACAAGAGTTGATTTGCACTAAGCAGACTGCACCTCCAAAAGCTGGATCCGAAAACCAATCAAGTAAGTAGACAACCAGCTAAAGAGGCATAGATACCACGCCTACGTACCCCTTGGCAAGATTCAATTTATAGCCGGCTAGAGCTTGCCCACCCCCACCTTTGATTTGGCCAAGAGTTGCGCCAGCTGGAACCAGCTGGAAGTGGCGGTGGTTCCGGCTGAACTTCTTGAATGTCTGTCCCGTGCAATTACTAGTAATATTTATTTGAAATTATCCACTAGATTTGAACGTAACGTAACCGAACTTAGAACCCCGAACCCAAACCCAATCCAGTATTTCAGTGTTAGGCATGTCACTAGAGTAAATAATGGACACGCCAGCGATCGAGCACTCCATCTAACCAAAACCTCCTTGTTGTTGTTGTTGTTGTTCCTTTATTCAGATCACTTCGCTTCAGGAGGAGGAGGATACCACAAGGGATAAGGCCTGAGCCGGCAGCAATTAAACCTCTACAATTAAGCAATTAAGACACATTAAGAAACATTCCAGAAGTTTCCCGAATCAAGCAAGCAATAAGAAGCGTAACGTAACCAAACCAAGCGCCACAATTAGCCGCCATCTTCCCTGGAGTCGAGCTTGGACTGGGGATCCCTCCCATTTGTGTGTAGATGAACGATATTTAATCAGATAAACCACCGTCTCAGACTTTGTAGGAATTATAGCATTAAGTGAGCCAATTTGGACATTTTATTGTTGTTGAGTGTTTTATGAACTAGTACACTGCATCTGCATCTGCATCTACATAATTATATAGTACCACTTAGGAATAACGTAGAATCTCTTCAAACGAGGAGTGCAAACACACTCTCTCTGAGGGGCTAAAAGCGTAACTATGCTTAAAATGAAAACCAAATACATACTCGTGCATGCAAAAACACTAATACGAGCACGAGCGAAAAATAAACTGTCTATAATAAGCCCCCACTTGAGTCCCAGCCGTGTAGGGCTCCCTCCACAGAGTACCCGAGCAGGGTGGAGTGCCCTCGGCCCCTGCGCCTGGGACTTGCACCTCCCTTGGAGAACTTCAATAACTTTCTGACAATCAGAGGTTCTAGCCTAGAACGAAAAAATATTGATATTTCTACACAGATATTTCTATGCATGCCACAAGTGAAACTTTGTTAAACTAAGAAAAAAACCTACACACATATGTCTACGTTCTGCGTAGTGTAGTGTATTGTAGTGTAGTGTAGTGTAGTGTAGTGTAGTGTCCACCAGACGTAGCCGAACATCTCCCGAGGAACTGTGCATCTGGACATGGCTATGGACTTGGATATACATAGATATGATAGCACACATACGCATAAACCTATATGGATCAATGTACACACACACACACCGTCTATGTCTATTAAACCGAAATAAAACTCTACTCAACTTTTCTGCGAAACGGCAAAACACAAGTCCTTTGAGTTTTTCTTCTGGGAGAGAAATCTGCAGATCGCTGAACGCCATAACTACCGATGAACACGTCACGGTTCGGGTTTCAGGGCGCCTAATTGGTCACGTATGGTACATGCAGCGAGCTGACAACGATTGAGGATGAATTTGGTTTGACTTGGATTATTTCATTATGCATTGCTTTCATCTGCCATTCGCCACCATCCCATCCTCTCACATGATTCCACGCCCCAGCTGCAGGTCGCTCCGATTGTTTGTTGGCAGTTTGAGGCCATTATGACACCATTTTCCGAGCGAATGTCAAACAAAAGCCAAAAGCGTCACATCAGCAAGCACTCCGCATGGGATGTGCTAGTGGCATAGGGGCAGTGAGGAAGGGCGAGGGGGACTGCGACAGACAGAAGGATAAACCGCAGACTCTGCCATTTTGTTTGCACTGTCTAATGAGAAAAGTTTGCGGAAAGCATTGACAATGAATGCTGCTGATAAGAGAGCGGCGGGGGGAAGTTGAACAAAAGAGCCAAGAGCCACAAGGCGGGAGGCCTCCATTCGTTATGTGCCCTCCTGACTGTTCGTTCCTGGACAGACCACACACACGCCCATTGATCGATTGCTGCTCACTCATTTACGGCCGCAATTAAATGAACCTTGCCACAAGGACACCCAAGCTAAAAAAGGTTGGGCCTGGTCAACCCTTTTTCTTCTCGGGCTCCTTCGCTTGGCTCTAATTAGTTCTGTTTTCTCGTGGCTGGTAGCCCGTAAAAGAGAAATTGGAAAAACAGCAGAGATGGATTTCAGCCATTGGGTCAATGGAACAGTCATTGTACTCACTGAAGCAGCGACAAATGAATGCCGAAAGGGTTTCGAATTTAATGGGAGGAAAGCTTCTGCATTGCTTGGGGCCGGCAATACCCCATCGTCATGCCCCATCACAAAACGCTTCTAGTGTGCATTTCACCATCCCCATCGCCATTACCACTTCAGCTTTCACTTTTCTGGCACATCTTCGTGGAAATCACGCATACGCAGCGAATACCGTGAGCTGCAGAAGAGCATTTGAAAGGCATTTCGTGCCGACAGGAAACTTTATAGCAGAGACTTGCCATGTATCAAGAACTTTCAGACATCGTCAGGAGAAAGTTGCCAAGAAAGACAAGGAAAACTGAATAAACTTTGTACTGTAAGGAAAAGTGTGTGGATTAAGTGTGCCGATTCCGTTCGCCAAACTATCTTATATCTCGACTAAAAGCCACCGAAAATACAAACATGCTCCTTCTCCTTTCAGGAATTGTTTCTTGCTCAGAAAGTTGCAAGGAAATAGAGAAAATATGTTTAACACTTGTACACATTAGTGAATGGAGATGAGCCACGGTTGAAATATTATTTTTAAGGGCAAACATAAGCTAAATATTTCCATTTTGTACTAAGCAAAATTTGTAATGTTCTATTAAGTTTGCAAAAATATTGCTCTTCCGACTGCTAAATAAAAACAACTCTATTCATCTTGCTTTTCAGTCGATGATTTCCATTGAACGACCCTTTAAGTCGTGCTCGAATTAAAAGGGTCGTTGGACTGACGCTGCACAGCTACACAGATTAATGGCCATGCAAATAGCCACACAGAACGGCGGCTAATACCACGGACAGGACAGTGCAGCACAGCATTATCTTCGATTAACGAGCGAGAGTTAGATAAATAAGAGCGAGATACAAAACAACAAAAGCAAAACGACCTGCTTATATTAAAGAATGCTTCTGCTTCGAACAGATATAAAAGTCCAGCAGATGTAAAAGTAGGTCCACATAAATACAAATGGGAAATAGTAGTTTGGGTGCTTAAGACTTCCGTTTTTCCGATTGTTTCTAGAAGCCGATCCGGGAGATTCTAACTAATGTGACAACATAGTCATCAGCGACTACAACTGTTTGAGTATTAGAATCGTATTATTTCACTGGAAGAATCTTTGTATGCCTTAAGTAAGAACCAAATGCAGATTCAGGTTCTGGCCATCTCCTTCTCGGCAGACTCGACGGCATCGTAGCCGTGAATACTGCCGCTTCTGCTGACTACTTTCCTTTTTTTTCCCCCAAAAATAGTTCAATCAATCCTGGCAGAAACATCAATTTAACCGACACGGTCGGAGAAATATCTGCGTTGTGGTTGTGGCTTAGCAAATCTTATACAATTTCTTCAAGCGCTCTTCTTTCCTTTGGAAAGGCGGCAATTATGAATGGCAGTGCTGTTCCCTATAGACCTTGCTTCTGCACGCCATTGCCAATCAGCTGAAAGCAAACAGATATCTCTGAATAATGGATTTTTCTCTGCACCTCCCCCACTGCTACCATTACCAACGGCGAATCCTCCCCCCGAGGCCGGTGAAAAGAGTTTGTCCAGCATGCGCGCGGTCCGCTGCAGCCAAGTGATATCGAAAAGCAATTTCCGCTTTTACTGCGGCATCTCCCTAATCCTCGCAACGGATGGAAATAAACGGGGGCACCAGGGACACAGGAGCTGAGTTAAGCGAACAAGGCGTTGCCAGGACAACGAATCGTATTCGTAGTAGTCCCAGAAACTGAAGTCAATCAAATATAAACAGACAGAAACAAAACTAGAAACGGAGCTGTAACGAAACCAGCTACGAGCAAAATCTAAAATATAATATACTCTTAAATTCCGTGAAAATGTTTTGGGGTATCAGCCCAGCGGTTGACTTGTACGAGGAGTATGTGAAGGCGTTCAAGATCAAGGATGAACCACTGCCCGAGGAGCAGGAGGGGGCTTGCGGAGATGGAGCATCTCCTTCCGGGTCTCTCAACATACTGATATGCGGCGGAGGCGATCCGCGCCATATAATCAAGACACTGGCCAAACGCTACACATACAAAACCAGGCCCAAGCTGAACATATACGTGCTGGACGGGTGTGCCGAGATAGCGGCCCGGAGTATGCTGCTCCTGGGCGTGGCCCTGGAGCCGCCAGAGTCCTTCAGCTTGGTGTACAAGGCCCACCTTTTCATGGACATCTATGGGAACTCGTTGATGCGGCCGAGCTCCCACCACTACGTGGCAGCCAAGGGTCGCACGCTGCTAAAAATGGTCACCGACGAGGCGGAGCTTCAACGGCTGGCGCCCATGCTCAGCTTGGAGGGGCTGAAGTACAAGGAGCGCGACGGCCTCGAGATGTCCTTCAGCTTCTGGCAGCCCCAGCCATTGCACAAGTACAACATTGCCGCCTACTGGGAGCAGCGATCGCGTGCCCTGCTGGGGAGTCGTTACGATCACCGCAACGGCGCCTTTGACTGGGACCTGAGCATGACCCTAAAGAGCCGCGAGGGTCAGCAGATCTGCTCGCAGGAGTACCGCTACTGGCGGGAGAGCGGGGTGGCCTTCGTCTTCCCCGAGTACGAACAGTGCAAGCCAAACAAGACATTTGCTGCCGGGCTGGTGCGCAACGGACGCACCTATCTGCACCGCGGCTACGTGGGCGACATCCAAACGGGCCCCTTCTGCGGCTTCGGGTTGCGCAGCTCCGAGGAGCGTATGCACAACTCTGTCCACGGCGACAACGACTATCGGGCCACAGATGTGACCGAGCGCAACCTCCTCGAGCTCTTCCACGAGCTGCAGACACAAACCGTCTACGAGCACGATTCCACGCGATCACGCCGCTACGGCTCCGTTCAGTTACTCATGACGCCCCTGCTCACCCACAACGAGTGCGATGCCGAGGGCCAAGCCAGCTACGATCGACCCTGGATAAAGGTGCCGGATGTGACAGTGCACTTCGTGTCGCCCATGGAGATGGTGCAGCTAAAACAGGGAGCGGCTCGCTGGACGAACACCTTTGACATTGTCTTCGTTGCCTTCAACTACTTCTCCTTCCTGAGCAAGGAGTTCTTCCAGTCCCTGCATCCGCGGGCCCTGCTCCTTTTGGAGACAAAGCTGATGACGGTGGAGCGCAAGGACAATGTCCAGAGCTATGAGACCAAGGCCAAGGAGCTCATGAAGCAGGCTGGCTTGAAGAGTGTTATTAATTACCAGGCCATCAATGGCAAGCATATGCTACTGAAGTACAAGCGAACTGAGGCAACTGATCCAGACGAGGACGAGGACAAGGACGAGGGCGATGATGCTGAGGCTGAGGCTGAGGCAGAGTCTGGATCTAACAACGAGCCAGAAGAGGTCCATGAGATGCAATTGACTGAACTTGTTTAATTTCAATACATTTTGTTTATTCAGTTCTCCCTTTTCTTTTTCTTCTTACCCGCCGCCCATGTGTCCAGTTGAAACTCCATGCCCTCTTTGCGTTGACGCAGTGTCTGGGGGGTGGCAAAGGCCGTCGTGTGTCTGCGCTCCTCCTCAAAGTCGAGCAGATGATCGATACGTACGTTGAGCTTTCTTGCCCTCGTCCCAAGAGCCTTTCGACTGTCGTCTGCCCTTCGCTGGGTGTCCATGTCAACGACCTTTCTGCGTGGCACATGCTTCAACGCAGAATCCCAATTGCCGGTTTTCTTCAGATCGAGCATGATGTTGATCATTTGGTTGAGGGTGAGGGATTTTCCGGAACCAGATCCCCACTGCAGGTATCGATCCAGAGGCAAGCGAGCCATGCGCAGACCCAGCCGCTTCGCCTTGGCCAGCGAGAGGGGCTCGTTGTTCATCGTATCCACCATGGCGCCAACTATGTATATGTCGTCCGGGTTGTACGTGACTAGATCCTCGCGGCAGTGGGGTGTCAGATAGACCAGATTTTGCTTGTCGAAAAGCTCAGTAAAGCATTGCTTGTGCACGTTCATTGGAAACTCCGGATTGAGCATGGTCGGGATGTAGCGCTTCAGGTTCTGCATGCACTTTCCCTCCAATTGGGCATTGCAGTAGTGCAGATCGAAGGGCTCGTCGTTGAGGCGATTCTCGGCGAAGCACAGCATTAGCTGCTTGGCCGCATAGGAGGCCTCTCGATTGTTCATGTGCTTGTCATAGGAGCAGTCCAGCACCATCTTGGGGGCGAACTGCATGGCGCGCGTTAGCCGATTGTTTTGCCAGTGGTTGATCGTTGTGTCGTAGATGCGCAGGAACATGGAGGTGTGCGCCAGGCCATAGATTATGTGGGTGTTCTCCTCCCGCTCTTTTCGCATATCGGCGATCCGACGCTCTGTGTCTTCGGCCCGCTGTGCTTTCTTCCGCCGCTCCGCCTCTTTTTTCATATTGATCTGCCATAGAAAGGCGTAGTACTTTATGCGTGCGGATTTTGTGGGCAACGACAGCACGTGGTCCCAGTGATGGTCCTGGAAAAACTCCAAGGCCGGCACGCGACGTCCCTCCTGATGGGCAATATCAGCCTCCAACTGCAGAACCTTTCGCCTCTTCCCACGATCCTCTTCGGTTTCTGCTGGCCCGTCGCTTATCGCTGGACTAGCCTGTGCAAAGGGATTCGAAAACTTCTTTGAGTTCACTTCACTGCCGGCAAACGCATTGTCGCCGTCGAATGTTTTGAATGAATCAGACACTCTCCTGGCAGGTATCGCACATCCTTTGAGCATGTGACTCGCCAGTCTCCATGGTCTCAGTGTTTTCAGCATTTTTCGGTCCAATTTATTGCAGAAATTGTTTTATAATGATGTTTATAAAGACACGGTGTCAGGGTTGCCACCCGCCAACAACAGCTGGCCGCTGTCGAGGTTGCCAGACTGGCCCGTTATTGTTGCGCTGTGACTGTCTGTATAATAAGAAGCGGCATTTGCCGACAATTTTTGCGCTTGGTTTGGAAAAACGTGTAAAAGAATTATATATTTACAAAAAAGAAGCCGCAAGACATATAAACACGATTAGCAATGGCTTTGGTTTGCGCACGTAAGTAGCTACACATTTCTAAAGCGACTTTGGGTGGAAACTCACTTTTTCGGCCGTTCCTCCAGTGACAAACGAAGTCCCCGAGACGCCCGTCGTGTCTCCCCACTCGGGAGCCGTCTTCGAGAAGCGAGTGATTGAAAAGTATTTATTGGAGAATGGCTGCGATCCCATTAGCGGCAAGGAGTTGAAGGCGGAAGATCTAATTGAGCTGAAAACGCCCGCGTTGGTGAAACCCAAGCCGCCCAGTGCCACCAGCATTCCGGCTACTCTGAAAACAATGCAGGACGAGTGGGACGCCCTAATGATTCACTCGTTCACACAGCGCCAACAGCTGCAAACAACGCGACAAGAGCTGTCCCATGCCCTGTATCAACATGATGCCGCCTGCCGTGTGATTGCTCGTCTTAACAAGGAAGTGGCCGCTGCTCGGGAGGCTCTGGCCACGCTGAAGCCCCAGGCCGGTGTTATGAATGCACCCACGGCGATTCCTCAGCCGGCCCTGGCCTCTGAAGCTGGCGGTGCCGCTTCACATCCCATGGAGCAGGCTGGCATGAATGCAGAGGTGATACAGAAACTCCAGGACAAGGCTACAGTGCTCACGCAGGAGCGCAAGAAACGCGGACGCACCGTTCCTGAGGATCTGGTCTCACCAGATCAGGTGAAGAGCTTCCTAACGGTGGCTTCCCATCCTGGCCTGCATTCGGCCTCTGTACCCGGCATTCTGGCCCTAGACATCAACAGTGCCGACCACAGTAAGATCCTGACCGGCGGCAATGACAAGAACGCAACCGTCTTCAACAAGGACACCGAGCAGGTGGTGGCCATTCTCAAGGGACACACCAAGAAGATCACCAAAGTAATCTACCATCCCAACGAAGACACAGTCATCACCGGCTCGCCAGACATGAATATTCGCATCTGGCACGTTCCCACATCCCAGACGCAGCTACTCCTGCGCTGCCATGACGGACCGGTGACCGGACTCTCGTTGCACCCCACTGGCGACTACTTGCTCTCCACATCGTCTGACAAGCACTGGGCCTTCTCCGACATACGCACTGGACGGCTGCTCACAAAGGTTATCGACACCGCGGAGGTTGGTCTGACGACGGCCCAGTTCCATCCTGACGGCTTGATTTTCGGTACGGGCACTGTCGATTCCCAAGTCAAGATCTGGGATCTGAAGGAGCAGAGCAATGTGGCAAACTTCCCCGGCCACACTGGTCCCATTTCGGCCATCTCCTTCTCCGAGAACGGCTACTACTTGGCCACCGCGGCAGACGACGCCTGTGTCAAGCTGTGGGATTTGCGCAAGTTAAAGAACTTTAAAACAATCCAACTGGACGATGGCTACGAGGTCAAGGATCTGTGCTTCGACCAGAGCGGCACCTATCTGGCCATTGCCGGAACCGATGTCAGGTGAGTCGTCGTCGTCCCTCTACAGCTAAATGCACAGCTTTTGAATCAGTTGAATAGCTTTATAGATTTATAGAAATCGAGTGAGTTAGAGCTTGTTCTTGCGTCGCTGCTGCAGTTGCAAGCGATGATGCTTCTTAAAGTGCTCCATCCAGTTATGTAGGCGGTTCTGCTTGACCAATGCCCGCCTCGACATTTCCTTCTCCGACGCCATGCGGCGACGAACCTGCTGTTCCAAGCTTCGGAGCTTAGTCGGCTCAATATGGTCCAGCTTGGACAGCAGCTCCTGTTGCAGGACATTGGTGTTAGACAGCGTTGGCTTTGAATGCAAAATTTGGTCTTACCATAACATAGGATTGGATCTTCTCCACCTTGGCCAGGGTCGTGTCCTGCTCGTCCTCGTACGTCGACTTTGCGGCTGGCAGAGGAGCCTGCATGTCTTCCATTGTGCGCCATTGCTTCGACGACTTCTGTGCGGGCTTCGGCGGCGGCGGCGGTGGCTTCGAATCCTCCTTTTTCTGCTCCGGATGCACTTTGTTCTGTATGTGCTTAAGGATTACAGGGACAATGCTGTTGAGCCTTATGTTCAGCTTGCTGGGAGGGAAATATATGTGTATTCGAACTGATCTCTCGCAGCACAACTCTCAACTCACTCTTTGCAGTAGCTCTGCTCGTAGACGCTCAACAACTCGGTGGCACGTTGCTGAAGACCAGCCACGCGACGCTGCAAGAACTCTGGGTCCTTCAGGAAAACGTTTGCAGTCACCTTGCGCTCGAATGTTTTTTTCTGCAAGCACGACAGTTGCTAAGAATATACCTTATAGGAAGAGAAAATTGATTCCACTCACGGCTTTGTCGTGGAGTATGCCCACGATGTGGTTGAGCAGGGCCAGCTGGGTGAATCGTCGGTTGTAGTTAGAGACCTTTAGGCGGTTCCTTTCGTAGCCCCTTATCCAAACGTCTGCATCCAAGTGGTTGCGCTTGGCGAGGTAAGGCCTCACCACTTTCTCCATGTAGTTCTGCACTTGCTGCACCTGTTCCAGGCCGGCTGGATGTCGCTCGCTAATCTCCATGCAGACGATCTCCTTAGGCATGGTCAGCCTATCCCTGTCCGGACCCTCCTCTGCCAGCTCATCCACCGTGTCATCGAAATAGCTGATTAGCTTGAGCAGATACTGGAAGCGGCCGTAGACTTCCTGCACCTCCATCAGGATACGCTGATGCTCGAGCTTAACCTCGTTGAGCTCCTCCGCCACCTTGTTCTCCTTCAGCATCTTCAGCTTCTGTTGGGCCTCCAGCATTTTCTTAAACTCGTCTGCCTCCATTTTCTTCAGCGACTCTTCGGCGAACTTGTGAAAGTCTTCTGCCTTCCCGTACAACCTGTCCTGGTGCTCCTTCTCGCGTTTCCTATCTAGAAACATCTCCTGCGTGGCATAGTGCATGAATCGGTTGCGCGTGATGTCGCGTAGCAGTAAAATGTCGCTAAGGAAATGAGCAAGTCAGTCTTCGACGGGAGTTCGCTTTACTTACCCCAACCCCCGTCCACTCACGTTTTCATGCGGAACTTTCTGGACAAGCGCTGCGAACTGGCGTCGGTTATGTACTCCGGATCGATGGTTGTAACCACGCATGGAGCCCGGGGATTGGCAACTTCTCCGCGCTATAACCAAACCAATAATTAATGCCATTGACTCTAGCAATGTGATTGATATTCCTACCGCATTGAAATCATCAATTGATAGATTGATGGGCTTGGGGGCTTCCGGCTCCTTGTGGGTCCGAGGACGTATGAAATCTATCAAAGCAAGGAATTTGCGTTAAATCATCATTCCCGTCACTCCCAATACTTGAATTTTACCTTCATATTTCCTATAGACTTTTCTTTTAGATTTGTGCATTTCGTACGTGCTGTTTCCTCTGCGAAACTCGTTTACCCGTATTCGATTATGTTGCCATGGCTACAATATTGATGATATTCGCTTTCCTTTTCAGGGTTTACCTATGCAAGCAGTGGCAGGATCTGAAGATATTCAACGACCACACGGCCCTAGCAACCGGCGTCCGCTTCGGGAAGCATGCCCAGTACCTCGCCTCCACCAGCATGGACCGCACACTGAAGTTGTATGCCATCGAATAAGCACTGGCGGCGGCGGCCAGACTAGCAGATTACCAACTAAGTCCTAAAATGTACGAGTATCTAAGCTCTTCTGTGTACTTCAAAGAAATAATTCAGTAAAATAAACCTGACCCTTTTATCCGAAGACCCCACTATGCGTACGTACGTATATTGGCATGTTTAATTCTGCATTACTGTATATACTTAGAAATATTTAACGAGACTGCCGCGTCGGCGACTGGGCGACTCGGCAAGGGCTCGCCTTCACGAGGCCGAGATCTGCTTCAGTGGTCTCTCCAAATAGGCGGCAAGGGACATGGCCTTTTGCTTGAGTAGGCCCAATCCGACGTGGCTCCTGGCATACAGGCACAACAGCACACTAGCCACCTGCAATAAAATCGTTGATCGAGAATTAGTCTGAGGATGTGATTTGATTGAGACTCTTGCCTGTGTTATTGCCACATGACCCGTCTCGCAATCAATCAGCACAAAGGTCAATCGGTCTTCGCGGAATGCATTCCGTCCATGTTTTTCGTAGGCTGCCCAAATATTGCTGGCAATGGCGGCAGTAATGCGAGCATCCTTATCGCCATAGCCGGAGTAGGCCAGGAGTGCACCCTCCTGACTCAGCAGACTGTAAGTACAGACACTGATTAGTTTCACTGCATTTCAATGATACTACTATCTTACAGGGTGTTCTCCACGCCCCCGGTATTTGCCTGGCTTAGAACTTGTGTGAGAGCCTTGGGTTTCAGCATCTTGAGAAGTTTGTTAAAACATAAAAGGAAAAAAACAACTACGCCTCCACAGAGTGCACACTGAATGGCAAAAGGCTGTCAGCTGGCTGGTTTGTTCACGTTGCATCGTGAGTGGCAACTCTCTGGCGCCAAAAGAGAATTTGATTTGATTGCATTTAAAAAGTTGGTTTTGCCAGCGAGCCCAGGAATACTATATTTAATTTTTAATAATGGTTGCGGCTCTCAAAATGAAAATGGTACATACATATTTTCTATACATTTTAATCTTTAAAACATTTATGTTAAAGATGGTCTCATTTTAGGTTACATGATATTCAAGCCGCGTCGTCATAGGCCTCTAAAACGATTCTTTAATCGTTAACAATTCATGGTATCTGCCTGCTACGTATTTCCGGACAACATCGTCATCTTATTGCGTATGACGTCATGGATAAACTAGGTCACGGACTTATTACGCAGCAAAACTGCAGCATAACTCCCTTTGTCCTCAATAACAGTTTAGGTTTTCCAACCACCGAATTTTCAACCTTTCAGAAGGCAGCATACCTGTATTTTTCCGCATACTACGCCGTCGTTTGCCTGAAAAGACCTTGAACCGGGTTGCATTTGGAATTGCAAAATGCGCATGACTCAGCGAACCCCCATACCTTCCCATTCCCTTCTATTAAAAACAGTGAGCGAATGCACCCTAACAGATTTTGCGGGTTCTTTGCTACTGAAGCTAGAAACTGGGTCAACTACGCAATAGCATTACGATTATGATGATTTATGGTTTTGGAGGAGTCGAATGAATGCGTATGCTAGGGATGGTGTTGCATTAAAAATGTATTTATTAACTTAGATTCAACCAAATTTAGTCTTGGATAAGATAAATCGAGCAATCCGATGTCCGCTCTTGGGGGTGACAGTACCGAACACACTGCATTGGTACATTATATCGCAATATTGATGGAGTTTCTTAAGTTAATTAAATATTACTACTGCTAAATATTATGTACACTTGGACAAAAATACATCGGAGGTGCATGCACACCTCCTCTATATGACATTGTTTGGTGTAGCCTTCAAAACTAATTTATTTTGGATTCAAGTCTCTGTGCGGGTGAAGAGAAATATATTGAGAGAAAGAGTGTTCATTAGAGCCAAACGATTTTTGAGGATGTCGGTGTGGTTGGGGTGGAACTGGGGAGTGCGCTGGCGGTACTGCGCTGCACTGCACTGTAACGATCCGATCTGTTAAGCTGGTGTTTAGAATTGCATTCGCGTTGCTTGTTGTATGTCTGTTGCTGGAGTTGTTCTGGCTGTTCAGCTAGCTAACTTAATTACAATCTTATCTACATGCTAAACATGTCCGCCTTTTTCTTTCGAGTCTACGAAATATCAAAATACATACATATGTATGATGTATGCATGTGTACAACTATAAATGTCCTTCGTATTCGATCACAGCGCGCGCTCAATATCAAAACAAAACTTTTAAACAATAGTAACGCAAAGTTTTGTTAGTATTTAAGAGGCCAGGTGGCACGGCACCAAAAGGGTCCATTAAAGGGTCCACGTAACTAAAGTTTTTTGTTTGTTTTTGTTTTTCGAAGGGAGAGGATTTTGATTTAGTCTCAAGACCCTATTGCGTTGTGGAGCGAGCACGCTTAGGGTTGCAGTAAAGAGATGCAAGCATGGATGGGTCTGGCTCGTTCTTCTCGGCCTTCTTCCTCGTTTGCGTCGGCAGGCGATCCGTAAATGTCTTGGGTAAGCCAGCTTTAAGAAGCGCCTTGCGATCGTACATGTCCAGATTATCGTTGTAGTAGGTTATGGCCTCCCAGCACATTTCGCTCAGCTTTGGCACGGTCATCCACATCTTGTAGAGACCGTTGCGTCGACGCATCTCCTTCTCATTGTACTCGATGCCACCGAACACGTACATGCAGCCGTTGTCCGAATGTGCGGCCGAATGGAAGTACAGGGGTCGGGGCAGACTTGTCTCAATGAGGAACCACTGCTTGGTGCGCATATTCAGCTTCCAAATATCAGAAAAATATGTCGAAAAGTCACCCTAAGCATGGGGGGGAGGAATATTTTGAATATGTTAATAGTATCTTTCAAGAAGAGATCACCGAGTTGAACGCACCTGCAAGCCACCCGTGATGAAGGCTTCGATATCTCCATTGGTGGACTGGTGTTGAACACACGAGAAGCACTTGCGCGGCTTCGGATAGCCCTTATTGTTCTGCTCCACATCGACGATCCGTCGATCTGGGAAAGTGTCGAAGTAGTCCCAGCAGTTGTCATCCAAGTTGTACGCTGGAATGCGCTGAAGATCGTACACAGAGTGCGAAGTTCCGCCTCCAAGCACAAAGATGTGCTTTCCATCGTAGATCACCTCGTGGCGGTAGCGGCCCTCGGGATCTTCGCGCATCTCCGGCCGACTAATGTACACATTCTCCCACACTCCTGTGCGCAGGTCCAAGCGATAGACGTCGCAGGTATAGTCGAAGCCAGTTGTTCCCCCGATTGTGTACAGATAATTTTTGTGGATCACAATCCCTGGACCGTATTGGGCAGTTGGTCGATCCCCGGTGACCTTCAAGCGTTCGACGGCAGGCGTCGCCCCAACACTGGCCGTGCGATACACATAGCAATCGTTCGAACAGGACTCCCCGAAGGGATAGCCAGTACCTCCATGGGACTGCAAAGAGCAAAAGAACGATCAATTGAAACTTATCTCTGTTTGTTTGGTATTTAGGAAGCGAGCAGTAGTGTGTGCACGCCCCTGAAATTGCTGGCTATGCATCAAATTAGAAGATATTGAGCCAGCAGGGCCTGCTTATCTGCTCTGGAGGGAACCAAACAGAGGCTGACCAGTGTCGGCTCCCCAGATAAGCGGAAACATGCCTCGCCAGTATGTTTTGTGTGTATCGGTCATGATTCGTCATCAAATTAGAGCTAATTGAGGAATGCACGGGAAAGGGAAAAGGAAAGGGCATTTGCAGCCAGCATAAAATGCCAAAGGCAGTCAGCCTCAGTCACAGCCACAGCCAAAAAGCGCGCGCGCTCTCAGCTGTGATGTGAGGGTGATGTTGGGGGCACGGGAAGTGATTTTGTTTTTCATCGCGAGCTTAGCAAGGGGGAAAAGCTGGAAAACAAGTTGTTGCATGCCGCAGCATAAACAACAAACAACAACTGCGTAGTAACCAAAATGGAAAGCAAAACAACAGAAAGAGGGTTGGACTCGGATGGCATGCGCACAGACAGGGACGGAGACAGAGACAGAGGCGGAGGTGGACACAGAGAGAGAGAGAGAGAGAGAGACAGACATTGAGACGGCTGCAGTGGCAACGGCAATGGCCATGGGGGCAGCTGTTGGCGCTCGGAATCGGGCGATTCCCGTTTGTTTGGCCTGACATTTCGAGTGTTTAGAATGCATAAACAAAGCGGAGAGGCGGAAGAGCATCATTGGCAAGGCTGGGCAAGGCAGGGCAGGGCGTGGCATTGGCCCTGGCATCGATCCGTATTGCACGGAGAGCTCTGTTTAACCCAGAAATACTTTCGATAGATCTGCGAGAGATCTGCTGTGGTTCCTCCCTACAAGGCCCGTTATTGGATGCACTGGGTGCACATTGGGCGCTTCCCGTTGCATCCGCACACCCTGCACTATTGGCCCAAAATGGTTTTCGTTGCTAGGAAAAACAAGTTTTCACTATAATTTGCGGAACGGGGCAGACATCGCGGGTCTAGGGGTTTTTCTAACAGTTTCGCTTTCCTATTCACACACACACACACACAGACCCCCACGCGCATTTGCACTCTCGCACACACACACAGAAGATCAGAGAGACAATTATCTATTTTTGTCTTGCACCTCCCTCGACAAATACTCACAATCAACACGTTATTGTGAATGGTCAATGCGTTGGAGGCCAGCTCCACAGGCAAGTTGCTGGCGTTCTCTGCATTCAGCTCCAGCCTCCAGAGATTGGTGGCAAAGTTGTAGCTCCAGAGCTCCTGGAAGAGCAGGCAGCGACCGCGACGAGCTGCAGTGACGGCGCTCCGGGGATTGTAGCCGCCCAGAGAGTACAGATGAGAATTTGAAGCGATGATGCGGTGGCCACTGCGGGCCAGCGGGTAGCCACCAGCGCAATGCTTATACTTGTAGGCGCACTTCACCAGACGCAGGGGCTGGAAGCTGTACTGGCGCAGTGTCTTTGGCTGCTGCTGTTCCTCATCGGATAAGAGGGACGCGCTAAGTGCGCTTTTTGAAATGTCTTTGTCGTCGGCCTCGTCGCTGGAGCTGCTCGACTCATCTGAAAACATTTCCTCAAGCTCCGAGTCCGAATCCGAATCGCCATAGTCCACATCCACATCGTCGTCGTCCTCCTCGTCCTCGTCGTCCATGTCACTGGCCGCATCCATCGGCTCTACAGCTGCTATGACCTGAAAGCGTGCCACAATATCCGCATGGGCCCGCAGCACCTCCTGTTGCTGGTCGACTATATGCTCCCGATGGCCTCCCTCCTCTGGCATGTCTTGCTCCTCTGCCATTTCTTGATCCATGATATTGTTGTTATGCTCCCGATTCGATGGCAGCCACAGGGGATATATGACTATCGTGTAGATGTAGTGCAGCAGCTTGGCCACGAACAGAAAATATCTCCAGGTATGACGCAGTGTGAATATAGTGATGTACTTGAGTCTGGCTGGTTGTAGCATGTGCATACCACGCTTAATTAACTGAATTATATAATAGACAATTTTGAATCCTGTTCAATATCGTTTTTTTGGGGATTTCTATAGAACTGAACTGAAAATATTGTCTAATTTTTACGAATTTTGGATTGTTGTTTTCGGGAGAGGGCCACGACCTCGCACAGCTGGTTTTGCTATACTGCTTGCTTTGTTGCTGTCATTTTGACATTCCTCGCTCGCACTCACACACATCTGTGGCACATGTGTATGATATGGGGAAAATGTTATTTATCGTTGAAATTATTACGACACGAACTTGTAATTATTATTTTTATTGCACATTGATTGGAACTGCATTAAGTAAATTAATCCATTTTAACAACTACGCTTTAAACTGCAAAACAGTGTGACCGCGGATTTATCGTTAAAATATACCGTCCAACCCTCAGAAATATACCAAAATATTTCGTCTCAATTTAAAAATATACCGTAAATATACTGACGAATTATTTCTGTTCACGTTCCATCATATTCCTTGATTTTGATATTCGGTTCAATATGACTAGCTTTCTAAGAACCTCAGCTCTCAGCTCGTTATTTTAGCCGATTGATCAATCAATTTCCTACAAGAATGGTTACATAAAATATGTCATCTTTATTGTATTTTTTAAGAAATAAAGTTCTAACTAAATTGGTCAATAACAATTTCCACTAAATTAATGTCTTTACATGGTAACTACGCGATAGCCACAAAATTGCGACGTATTAACTACATTTTTATGTAAATACAAAAAGCGACACCTCTAGGGGAAATGTGAACGTTTCAACCATTTTTGGCCGTTTTTTTTAATATAATCCCCATGTAAGAGCCAATGGGAAAAGCCTCTGATATCCACTGAGATTTGGATGTCAAAGATCGAATCCCTGATGCTGACAAGTGGCATTTCTACACGATTTCTACAATGGTGCATTCGAAAAAAATACTTACAACGAAAAAGATAGAAAATCCCACCAAACGGCTTTCGATACTATCGACTGGATACGTGTGGTGCGCGCTAAAGGGTCTGGGGATTCCTGAAACGGATTTATATATAATGTATATCATATCAGAAATTATTCGTACATATCTTGTGTTCTGACGACGAATGAATGAAGTTGAATACACTAATGAACAATTCTTCGAATGTGAAGTACAATATGATACATGTTTAATAGGCCACAGAGCATATACAAAATAAAACCTCTTCCGATTTTGTGGGGAGAGCTTCTTCAAAAAGTGTCCCCGAACTGGGGGTTCCGAAATGAATTCTACTAACTTTTGAACTTCAAAAACAAGCCATTTTGTTAAATTTGCAAAGCGGCCACACTGCTCTCTTACCAGACCATACCAGGTTAGAATGGTGCATTAGGTACGGCCACCGAAGCGACAATGTTAGAATCGAAGGTACTACTCTCAACTTCCATTAGTTTAAATAATTATTTCGAATGGGTCTATTTGTATGACCTAACAACTTAATTGTTAAAAACGATGTACCTTGCAGAAGTTATTAGTTATTTAAGACAAAAAACCCTAAGAGGCCACATTGTGAGCGGTCCCTACCTAGTATACTTATACCATGCATTCACTCGTACAATAAAGACCGCCGTCGGCACAAATTTTCTCATATTGTTTTTTTCACTTGTGTAATGTTCGGATGCGGTGTCAACTCAATAACAAAATGCTGATCAACTATAAATCGAATAGACTTTGATAGCGATAAACTCGGATGTGGCACAAAGCATTGCGCCTGACGTTGGCCCCGAGGTCGTATGGTGTATCATAAGAGTCGAATCGTCGCATTTCGGTGAGGTCCCGCGCAATCTGAAGGAATGACCAAGTCCAACCAATACTTTACTCCACGCATGTTTAAAATTGCAGCGCGCGTGTCATAGTTTTCAACCCCAATCCGTGGTAATAATAATAAATATATATTCCATGCAAGCTCTTGAAATTCCATCGAATAACTCAGCGCCGAAAATGGGGAATTCGCCAATAACATTTGAATGTTCTTATAAATTGCACAGATTTTGCAGTCCACGACCCTTCATAACCTTAAAAAGGCACGTGCATTTGCTCCGTTTTGCGGCGTAGAAGAGTTTCCTCGTATATCAGACACTGACGGAGAGCCCAACCACCGCTGTTGCGCCTGCCACGAGAGTTGACAGGGACCGACGAAGATGGCAACAGCAGCCGACCAGCTAATGGCACCTGCCTCCCTCGCCACGATAGCGCCAGTCAGCAACGGGCAACAGTCTCTGCTGGCAACGACAACAGCAGTAGCGATGGCTGCCAGGAATGGACAGGAGCAGCAGGAGCTCGTCGAGAACCAAAAATCCACCTCCCCGAAGCCAAGCCCCATGCCGAACCTGAAGCTGAACAAGATGGGCTCGGTGTCGAGCAAGGAGAAGCGTGTCTACAAAATCGTTTTAACTGGCGGTGAGTTTTCCAGTCCAGTAAACTTAAACTGAAAAAGTGCTTCGCTTCTCTTCGGCTGTGCGCGTTTTCTGTATCTGTTACAAGTGTCTCTTCGAGTGGTCTCCTGCCAGCCCCCAGGTGCACTTTGTTTCCGATTTATGTCAAGGTCGCAGGCTTGCGTGGAGGGGTAGTTTGTCCTGCGCGCAGCTTCCCCTCAAATGGCGGCGTTGGCCGTTTGATAATGTTTGGTTACCAACGCCAACGCCAATGCCAATGCCACCGCCACACAGTAGGTAGCCGCTACCGGCTTTATTTTACAGTCGCCCCGCACATAATTTACATTTAAATGTAAAAGAGAGGCAGAAACCTGTTTATTCCGCGCTCATATGATATTGCTTGGGCGCGTGGTCTAATCATTTAATTTGGCCGAAGTTATGACTGTGATTAGCTAGAACACAAACGGTATTGACGTATTGAAGAGGCCTATCTGCTATCTGCTATTTGCCTGTTGCGCGAGCAGACACAAACATTTATATTCATATGTATGTATTTGTCGCCGTCTATTATCGCACTTTGGCGGTATGGTATTGACTTCCTCTGCCGCACCACATTAATCGAAATTTGGCGACAGGCTGAGGAAGAAGCTGATAAACGACAGGCCCCATCCAGGCAGGCTCACTTAGCAAGGGGCACGTGGGGCCCGTTCCATTCAACTTCGATGACTAATCCCCCATGAGTGCCCCAGGGCTATAATGTTTCCGGCCGATCAATTCCTGATCGATGCACGGACCAGAGACCAGAGACTGCGGTGCAATGGCCATGGGCATGAGCAGCTCTGTAATTGCAGTCAATGTCAGTCCCCATTCCAGCGAAGTGCACAATTGAGGAACAATTGGCCGCAGCCGTAGCAGCGGCAGCTAAGCAACTTGTTCGCGCTCGTTCACTGCTGTCTCGCTTCTAATTGGAATTTGGGGCTCAATCGAGTTATTTGTTCATAGTTGTCGGTCGAATCAATCGTTGATTGCCATCTGAATAATTATTTTAACACTATTTTCAGGTCCCTGTGGCGGCAAGACAACGGGCCAGTCCCGTCTGTGCACGTTCTTTGAGAACCTGGGATGGAAGGTAAGTGTTGTGGGGCATTCCATTCGGGTATTCGGGGGTACCATTAGGTAGAAAAGGCCTGCGAGGCTTGAGCTTTGTTTTGGGCCACGGGCAGCTGTAAGTAGTGCCCAATCCTGGTGGGCCAATCAGCGGGCAGAAGGCAGTAACAGACTAAGAAAGAACCCGCTTAGAATATCTCAATATCTCTTTCTTTCGTACCTTCCTATTGCCCCGCAAACTCGAAACAAAGCAATGAGCATGTTAAATATTTTCAGGTGTTCCGCGTGCCTGAAACGGCCACTGTGTTACTCAGGTAAATGCTCTCTCTCCACACACACAAAAACATTACAATTTTGAAAGGAGGCAATCAAAGCGAAAGGGGCCAACTGGGGAAGCTGCACCCTCAACTTGGCTCCGAGTAGATTTGCTTGCCTCCAAGGCTGGGTCGCCCAGCCGAGACTTTGAGGACACATACACGAAAACCGATACCGATACCGATGCAAATGCAATGCATATTTGATACCGGTCGAGATCGTAACCCTCCATACTCCGACAGAAATATCCTATCTCTATCATACTTATTCGAAACTCGTATCTAGTAGACGCCACGCTGCACGTCCACCAATGTAAATATGCTAATGCCTTTGTTTCTTTTTCTCTCTCTCTCTGTTTCTCCCCCGTCTCCCGCATATCTAGTGGTGGCGTCAAGTTCTCTGATCTGACCGAGAAAGAGGGTAAGTAGAGTTGCAGCGTTGTAACGAAAAGAGGATTAGAAGAGGAGTTTCGCACTTGCAAGCATTTTCCGAAAACACTCGTGGGACCGATCTTCCAGTTCTTCCTTCATCCACTGTCAAGGTCGACCGTTTCAGAGCAGTTTCTAAGAACGAAAACTAAAATAAATCAAAATATTTACTAGCGGGACGGGACCCACACAAAGAGACCTTTGAAAGCGCTGTACTATACGTACTATATATGCTAGATGTATTTTTAAAATAAAAATCAGGCAACTGCGACAGCGACCAACGACCAACGATGCCACATACTATATGTAGATAGTATGTGTGTATGTATATCTCTTTGCGTATATCCGAGTACATGGCATAGCAAGGCGGCCACCATGAAAGTCACGTCTCAATGATGAATCTTACGTAATTCCTTTGTGCCCAAGAATTTGCCGAGCATTTTCCCGATATCCTGATGAGCTGTCTCCGGCAACTGACTCGAGAATTGCGTGACTTGCGACAATTTCCATTTCGCCGGTAACTTATTCCTTCTATTATTTCGAGACCAATTTGTCAATTGCGTTCTTAATGGATTTGCAATTGGCGGGAGGCCCCCCTGTGGCCGCCAAGAATGCGAATGCGAGTATCTAAATTGCCAAAAACAGTACCAAGATAAGATATGGAAAGCGCACCCACTCCAGTCTAGAGGGGCCTTGCCTAGGGTGGTCCGGTGGTCACATGAAGGTTGGATTGTCATAATTCCTTGCCATATTGTAGCCAGTAGAGAGTAGACAACAGCTAAGGGCTATCTAATATGCGTATTGATGCTAGTACACACTCACCCGAAAACCAAACACCCACACACCCGAACATCAACACAACCCACTCACATGCGTACTACCCAAGCAGACCCGCCCACGCCAACCACGTTCGTTTACAAAGATCTGCCATTTGCCGCGCCGGAGCACAGTCTCATCGACCTAACTGCATCCTGTCCGCGTTGCTTGGCCAAGGCTGCCTCCAAGCCCAATGGCAGCGAAGGTGAGTGAGAGCCGATCAGCAGGCCCTCTGATCGGATCGAATCTTCTTGCGCTGATCTCTAAAGCAACCGAACCGAACCGCTTTGTGTCTTGTTCAACGGAGTTCAGATCCTCCATATCGCTGTGACCCTGTCCATCCTTTCTATGCCTGTGCCTTTGCCTGTGCCACTGCCTGTACCTGAACTTGTGCCTGTGCCTATGCCTTTGTTTATGTACCAATTTGTATGTATGTATGTATGTATGTGTATGCTTGAGCTGCTTTATCTCCCGGCGACAGCAAAGACTTGAACAGATCTCTGTCCGCGGTGCGTGTCCGTGCCGAATGAGTTGACAGTTTACCAAACAGAAAATGAATTTTGACTAATGCAAACACTGTTCTCCATGCACATACATACTACTCCTACTACATATACATTCTTATTTATTTGTGGCTTCATTTCTTTGATTTACGGTCCGATCTATGGTCTGTGTGTATGTCACTGTGTGCGGTCTCCTAACACCTGTGTCCAACAACTGTCTAACAAGCTGTAGTCACTATGCCTCGCCATGTGGCAATCTATATATGTACGTATTTACGTGTCTAGCAGATATATCTGCACATTTCAATAATAATATGTTATGCCAAGCCCCTGCCAGTAGCTAGCCTCTACGATTTCTGCAAATTTAAATGGGGCATTTAAATTTAGCCCCACATGTGAATATACGAATATACGAACCGTGAACGTATGCACATGTGCATATATTTGTGACCAATAATTGTAGATGCGAATACGATAACAAAGCTTGCAGGCAGCTGGAAGCTATAAAAATCACAATAGTTCCTTGGAGTTTTTATCTTTTATCCTGTCCGATCCCATATGCCTATTTCTATAACTGGAAGTGTCCAGATGGGATTGCATCCCCTCAGCAGCACACGAGGGAATGGGCATTTCCAGCTGTGTTTTCCATCAAACTTCCATTGTAACGGATAATTCTAGATCCACGCTAGCAGTACTCAAAAAAATTGTCTTTCCTTTATAATCAGTATACAAATGCATACATATGTACATACATAAGTTCATATGTCTATAGACCCGTGTGACTATACAAAGCCAGGCAGTCAGCCATGGCCACATGGGCAGTTTCCCAGCAGAAAGACATTTTATTTTCGATTTCTTTTTGGCTTTACTTGTTTATGAATGTATGTATGTATGTACATTTGTACATGTCTGCTATGTGTATCCGATTGACTGGCTAATTAAATACGTGCATTATAGACGAAAACATTTTAAGCGTTCTGTCGCATCACGTGCTTTCTGACGCGACAGCCTCCCGTCATTCGCTCTCTTCACGGCTGTTGAGTACATATGTATGTACGTACTCCTCCTTTCTCTCTCTCTCTCTCTCCCTATATATGTATGTTCGCAGTCTAGCGTCACTTGTTGTTGGTGCCGCGTGCTTTATATAGCGGCTGATATCATATGTACATATGTATGTGTGTATTTAGATTCTAGCACTAATATACTTGCCAAAAAGTTCCCGTTTGAACTTGTTCGGTCAATTGATTTCCCAAATTGGTTTCTAAATGATTTTGTTTTTTCCAGTGATTGTTTTTGGTCCGTTCCTGTCCCTTTCGCCCTCTAGTTCCTCCTGATTTTACGTACCTATCCAACTTCTTCATTAGTCAAATATGTGATCTAAAACTATGCAAATTAACCCGACTAATTATGTAATTAAAAATGTGCCGGCAAGAACTTCATCTGCATACATTTACATATGTATGTATGTATGTATGTATATCGTATCTGCTGCGAATCCATTAAACGTTGGAGGGGCACACACGCCCCTTCACTCCCATACATACACACGTCTATACATACATAACACTAGCATTCGGTACATCATACATACATATATTTCCTGATACGCCATAACGTTGAAAAAAATTACGAGTACAAAATACGCACATACATTCACAAGTACACGTGTATGTATGTGTGTACAGCGAACCTACCACCAACCAGCTATACTATTCTAAGGTATTTTCGTTATTTTCCTCTTATATCATCGCTAATTGAATTAGAAGTCGAAGGGGAACAAAGAATCTGCGATCGAAAACAAAACACAGTGAACGGAAAGGCAGGCAGGCGTCCCACACCCAAATCGATCTATTTCGCTGGCACTCGGTGCGCCGAGTCAAGTTCAATGCAGCTGCCGCGGCAGCAGCGGCGCAAGTATTACGAGAACAACAACAACTCGGCCAGCGGTGCGTTTTCGCTAAGCAGCACGTGACCCCGCAACAGGTGTCGCTGCCCAGCACTGCAACTGTTTTTGTCGCGGACAGACGCTGGGCTTATCGCTTAATGGCTTTGATTAGCTCCCACGTTTCACATATCAGGTTAAGAGGGTCATTCTCGGTATAGGTTTTGAGAGGGCACGCGATCTGACAGGTGTATTGGGCAAACAATCTAAGAAGACTCTTCATATGAGAGATTACGGGAAAAACTAGAATGGCAAACGATTGCATTTTATTATTCGGTTTACAGGAAACTCTACTTTAGGAAGAGTTCGGATTCTGGATGATCAAACGGCAGGGTGGTGGGCTTCGTTTTGAGTGTGCTCAACATTTTCATCGATTCAAGACCAGACCAGACAGAGTTTCACGCAGCATCAAATCGACCGACATAAAGTCAACAAAGAAACGAGTAACTGGATACTGGCCATCGTCCATCAAGCATTGCCATCATACTCTCGAATCAGCGCCAATCAAATAAGTTTTCTGTTCATAACTCGATACCCAGCGTGGCGTGTCTCTCAACTTATATTCGAATTTGCTTGCAATTGTATTTATTGATTTGATTTCCATTTGTTTCGATTTCGATTGCAAATGAGTCGCGAGTGCAACGACCGAACGAACAAGCAGTAAAACTTCCCTTTCTCCCTCCCTCTTGTAGCGTACAAATTTCAGGAGAATCTGATACGCACCATGGTGCAAATTGAGAACACCTACTTCGAGCTTGGGAACTCGAGCACCCGCAACTGCCTGATTATATGCGATCGCGGTGTCATGGACGCCAGTGCATGTAAGTGAACACAATTAAAACCACAGACGGAGGCGGAGATTACATTTAGCTCTTCCGTTCGTCAGATATATCAAAGGACAAGTGGGAGAAGATGATGGCGGGCAACAAGTGGAACCCCGTCGAGATGCGCGACAATCGCTACAACCAAATTTTGCACTTGGTGTCGGCGGCCAACGGAGCCGAGGACTTCTACTCTACGGAGGTGAGTAACCAGCGGTCGGCGGAACTGTTCTTCACTTGACCAATTCTTTTGTTTGCCAAAACAAATGCCAAAAAACACGGTAGAAAAGAAAGCGCCATTACCAGGTACCCAACAGATTAATGGCTATATAGTACGCTTGATACCTAGCTAACTATCGCTAATATGTAGCTTTCTAGTTGGGGCTAGGGGCCTGAGTAGTCTCAGTGTCAATCAGTTCGGGCATGAGCTAATTCGTGATCTATATATTTATTGCAGGACCACGCCTGCCGTTCGGAGGGCGTTGATCTGGCGCGAGAACTGGATTACAAGTCAGCGGCTGCTTGGGTGGGACATCCCTACTTCGACGTGATCGACAACTCCACCAACTTCGAGGCCAAGATGAATCGCCTGATCGAGTCCGTATGCCAGAAGGTTGGCATCGACATCGGCGATCGTCTGCAGGCCACATCGCGCAAGCTGAAATATTTGGGTATGTTCTGAAAGTTGCACCTCCACACAGGGTCTCCTCTAACTTCGGTTTCTTCATTGCAGTGGCCATGCTGCCGCCTGACAGCGAGTTTCCGCCCTTTCAAGACTTCGACGTGGTGCATCATTATCTGCAGTCCGGCGGACCCAAGGTGCAGGCACGCCTGCGGAAGCGCGGACAGAAGAATCACTGGAGCTACATCCATACGCAGCGGCGACCCAATGTGCACGGCCAGGCTCGCATCGAGGTGAAGACCCAGTTGACGCATCGCGACTACATGAACCTGCTGGCGCAACGTGACGATGCTCACTTCACAATCTACAAGAAGCGACGCTGCTTCTTGATCAACAACCAATATTTCCAGCTGGACATTTACAAGGAGCCCGGCCATCCGCGGTTCGTGTGTGCCACGATGTTTGTCCCCAGTTCATTCGTTGCTCATATATTTCCTTAATTTTAGCTGCAAGGGTCTGGTGCTGCTGGAAACGTATTCTTCGCTCACTGGTGACGCGCTGAAAAACTGCATGCCCAAGTTCTTGAACATCGTGAAGGAGGTAACCGGCGATCCGGACTATTCCATGTTCAATCTGTCACTGAAGGAGGACTGGAGCACCACCAAGAAGTTCTGCCGCACAGCGACGCACGGTAAGCAGCATGAGCAACAACAACTGCATCAAGAGAATCAGAATCAGAATCAGAAGCAGTATCATCCCTACGACGAGATTAGCGACTAAGGAGCCATCGCCATCAACATTAAGATCATGCTTAGCCAAAGAATACAGAACCAAATGCTTAATAAACAACTAATGTACATACCGTCGTGCCACTAGTCTTTGCTGCATGCTCATCTTACTCTTTCTGATGAACACTTACTTTTCTGTTGATTTCGATTTCGGATTGTTATGACTGTGTTTCTTCTTTTGATTTTGTAGCCAAGGGCGCCGCTAACGGAGTCGCCAACACGCCGTTGCTACTCAATGGCCAGTAGACTTCAAAATTGTCCTGTTCCTCCCTGAATCTCTTTTGCACATGAATATTACACGACAACAAACAACAGCAATGACCTGGCAACAAAATGTACAAAGAGCTGACGTGTGATTCACACGAAAGAGCAAGGTCCGAAAAGATTAGAGCATTCACGTGGATTCTCGCAAGAGATGAAGCAATCGCCTGGCAGGGTCAGCTGGTGATGCTCTATAAGCAAGCGAGTTCTCTGATCTATCCACACACACACACACACACCATGTTACTTATATGCGTACTTAGCCCGAGGAAGAGAAACTGTAAACCAGAGGCGTAGTATGTGTCGTCAAGTCTATAGTTTATAGTTTTCAGTTTCACCGAAATCGGTGGTCAAGTCAACCGCGATTGTACTTAATTTTCTTGTCAAGTTTGCTCGTGCTAATTTTGTAAGCCATAACTAACTACAAACGCTGTATGTATGTATGTATATCCGTGGATCCGCGACAAATTTTAAACTTTTTGTGTCTTTTGGAGAATGTGAAACGATAATTTTAAATGTAGTTTTAAACAAATAGTAAATACGATTACAAATACAAATACAAGACCACCCAAAGTTATCTGTTGTCCTTACTATCGGTTTATTACAATCTAAATAAATAATTGTATGGGGGAGCGTTAAATGACTACGCGCGAAGCGATCGAACCTACTGCGTCTTGGGCTTGTTGATGCGCTTTATAAGAGTGTCCACTGCACGATTGATGCGCAGCAGCAGAACATATCCTACCATGAGAGCCGGCAAACTGACAAAGGTGGCCAGGGCCTCGTAGATAAAGCGCGGAGCAAAGATTTTCCACACCATTAGATGCCGACAATGTATAGTGCAGGCGAGCATCGCACAGAAAATCTGAGATAAGAGGGAGAATAGATTAAATGTAGGGCCAGATTATATAGAATGAGAATTAGCTCCAACCTTGAGACCCTGCAACATAAAGAATTGCGTGGCCAGCTTGAAGCCGGCCCCCAGAAAGACATCCTCATACTCGTACAAAGTCAGCTCGCCACGCGTCATATCGAAGCCCACCGCCTCATTGGCAATATCGGACATGGCAGCTGCTGGGTCAGTTTTGCTGCCACTGCGGCCGCTGTTACTGCAGCTCCGAATGAGACTGGGAAACAGCGCGAAGAGCGAAAACGTCTCCGTGCTCAACAGGGCATACATGCTGAAGAAGAAAATTGGGCCACAGAAGGTGTTCAGAATGACCAGGGCACCGGAGATTATGTTCGACTGGCCAATGCCACTTGTGCGACCCACAAAGGCGGCGCGCCAATCGATCTGCGACAGCGTTGTCTGATGCGACGTGGCAAAGAAACAGAAGTGGGCCAACAGGAACCAGCCCACCAAAGCGGTGAACGTCGGCTGCACACAGCTCTCTGAAAGAAAATTGTCTTCTTTAGTGACACATCCAGCCATCAATCAAATCAATCACTTACCAAAGCTGGTGGCAGTTCGATACCGTAGGATCCCCTGAACACTGAGCAAAATGGCACCAACTGCCACACAAATCACCAGACCGATGGCGGCCCGCGGCTCCAGCAAAACGATCATCATCATAGCCAGGAATATGCCAAAAGTAATGGTGATCGAGGAGTAGACGGTGGCCAGTCCATAGACAATGGGTATTTCGCTGCGTCGCTCGGCATCGTCGTCGCCCTCATACATGCGCTTCATTTTCTTGAATATCTCTGGTACAATGCTGTCGTGTCCGTTGACGGTAAGAATGTTGGGGTTGCGTGGTGGCAGCACGAATGTCATTAGTGGAGCCCAGCTTAGCACGATGATTTGCAACAGGAGCAGTCCGTAGATCACCAAGGCCATGGCATCGATGTGAGTGCGTTGTATGTTCTTGATGGAGCTGTTGGCAAGCAGCACGTGGCCGCCAGCGCAAATGGAGGCTACCGTCGGTCCGTAGCGAGCCAGCAGCACGTTCGGCGAGCTTCCCGTCAGATTGCCGCAGGAGCGCAGATACAAACGCGTGAGCGTTGTGTAGATCACAATTATAACAACAGCCAGGATGTAGGTTTTTCCTGTACCCGGTTTTTTGATTGAGAAACCCGGGGTATTGCTGGTGGCAAAGTCCGTGCAGTTGCCCTGCTCCTCGCGACAGCGGAAAAGCGTGTACGCAAAGCGTATAAAGCAAATTGCCAATATGCTGGCCAGGATCAGCCTCAGAGCGGTCGAGCGCAAGAACTGGGATGCCTTGAACTTATTCCTGAAATCGAAGCGGGCACTGAGCTGTAGGAGCTCGTAGGATAGCAGAAGAATAACGGCCACCAGGAGGTAGGACAAAATCTTCGCTTCCTGAATGACGAAGCTATTTGAGAAGAACACGGCCATGATGGAAAAGAGCAGCAGTCGCGTGGGCATGTGTCCGAAGCGTCTGATATTCGCCCAGTTGCTGGCTATGTTGGTCCAATGCTTCAAGGTGTAGAACGACAATATGACGGTACTAGTGATGGCTGTGAAGAAGATCACGCCGTGCTCTTCTGTCTTAAAGGAGAAATTCTTGTAATAGCGATATCCAAAGACGCCCGCGGCGAGATTGAGGAGGTAGGTGTAGGAAATTCCCTTGGGCTGGAACATCTTCGGGTAGTCTGCGGGGCGGGAGTTGTTGATCAGAAGAAAGGCGAAGAATATGGGCAGGAAGCAGAAGAGAAGGCCCTGGGACATCTGCGTTGGTTCAAACTTGACCCAGATCTCGCGGCAGGTGCTCAGAACATCACGCAAATTGGTGTTCAAGTCCCGCACAAACGACTTGTAGGCTACCCCATTGTAAATGGTTTGGACTCTGTGGGTGAGCAGTATGAACTCCGTTTCCAGCTTGTCCATTTCCTGAACGTCGAATGTTCGTTTGTTCTCCATGGCATACTTGAAGAAGTAGCGGTAGATTTGCTGAGCGTTCTGCCAAGCATGCAGGAGAAGGGTTTGGAACTTGCTCAAATGGGGCACTGCCACATCGGGAACGATGTTGAAATTGATCAGCCCCAAGTTGGAGTAGGGTATGGGCACGCCCAGTATGGCCGCCAGTGTGGGAACCAGATCAATCTGGAACACGAGACAGTTAGCAACATATCATTGTGACGTGTGCCAGATTACATAGCTCTTCGCTTGTCTTATCTCACCTGCTGCAGTGTTTCGCTATCAGAGCCCGAATCGCTTCCAAAGAACTTATTTTGCTTGGAGTAGGCAAACAAAAGGGCATTCGTTTCGTCATCAGTGTCGCCGCCGTGATCTCCGGATGCTGTCATGCCATGGTCGCCCATCACCAACAACGTGGTATCGTTGTCCATGCCATTTACCACCGAGCTGTAAATGCAATATTAAAGATTATATTCATCGAATTGGTGTCCTGTGACCAGTATTTACTCTATGATCTCATTAATTTCGGTTAGCTTGCGCGCCATCTCCTCGTGCAGGGGTCCATGCTTGTGTCCGCAATGGTCCACGCCCAGAAAATGGGCAATCAGCACTTGCCAATCGTCGCTAACCAACTCCTTGGGCAAGTGTTTCATTATTTGATTGTCAACGCTATCCAGGTCGAATATATCGAAGCTGGGATACGAGTAGGCACGCTTAAAGCGGCGAGGGTACAAATCGGTCCAGGTACTGTCGCCCAAGAACACCAGCGGCAGATCGCTTTTAACTATCTGATCGATTACATTGTCCTCGTTGATCTCGGGCGAAGCAAAGTTCGAGCCAATATCGATGAACGTGGGCAGGCTGCCGGTTGTTAGGCCCTTCAGGCGCTGCAACGTGGTGGTGGGTGGGTCCGCCTTAAACCGCATAAGGCGCGACTGGTCCGGACTGCGCTCCAGGAGCTGCTGCAGCACACTCAGTTTATTCTCATAAGGCAACGGTTCGGTGATGTTACTTTTATAAAGGCCAAATTCATATTTAAGCGCATCAACGACTAGGATAATGACTTTGGACTTTTGTGGAAGACATAAGTTGGACGAGGCATTGACGTCCTTAAAGATTTCGTTCACAACCTCAGGCGTGAGCACATACTCCTGCAAATGACACCACATTACAGTAAAATCCGAGAGGTTTCTCAGGCTATACTCACATCATTGGGGTTCGTGGAGAGGCGGCGGCAAGTGCTCGTTTCCGTTTTGGAGACGCGGGCCAGCAGAAATCCACGGGAGAACAACAATACTCCGCTGCATATCAAAAAGGCCAGCCAAATGAGCACGAACAAGTACGTGACGTTCATCTTTCCGCCGCAGTTTCTTGACTAACTAGACTAAGCATGTACATACAAGAGTTTGTATGTACAGGGAAGCTAATCGGCATTTAGAACAATGCCGTACTCGATGCCTGGTCTGGCCTGTTCTGTTCTCGGGACGGGACCAGTTTCCGCTCTATAAAACTATATATTTAATTAATTGCACTTTAATTTGAAGCCGCACGTAGCCGATCCGTTTTTAAATTCTATGCATCACGACGCGTATTCTTTGGCTTTTGTTTTCATTCAAAATTCGTCATTTATTTTCTTACTTTGTGGAATGGAACACTTTCCACCCTGTCGAACAGCTGATGACATAATGCAGCTCTGATGCGGTAGAGTTGCCATTGCCATCAGAGCTACACACCAATTGGCGGGGTTTTTGAAATGGAAACCATTTTGGGCGCTTTCGTATTGAGGCAAACAATATTGCATTTATTTAAAGATTTCATACACATATAGCAAATCTTAGACCAGCAGTAGCAACAAATTATGCGTGCATGTGTGTCTTACATTATCGTGTGTGTGTGTGAGTCGTAAGCTCTGATCTGATCGATTATTCAAATATATATTTTTAAATAAATCTAAAATTTTCTCCTTACAGTATGCGCCACCTAACCATGGATGCAAAACCCTAGAGAATAAACAAAAATAAAATTTAAAACAAATATACATGTGTATACATATATATATTTTCTTCTACAATGGTTTTTTTCTGTTAAAGATTAATAAGTATTGAAAAAGATGGGAATGAAGAGGTTCCGTTCCCCTCGAATCCTCAGTGCGGGGGGTTGTTTAGTTCTTTACACATACACTTAGTCTGATAGGTATAGTATATATGTATATGAATGCAGCAAGTTCTCCACTCCACTCCACTATACTCCGGTTAAAGTTGAAAGCATTTATGCTCGATAGTACTCGATTGTG